CCCTGTGTCTACTAAAAATATAAAAATTAGCCGGGCATGGTGGCTCACAGCTGTAATCCCAGCTACTCCGGAGGCTGAGTCAGGAGAATCGCTTGAAGCCAGGAGACAGAGGTTGCAGTGAGCGGAGATTGCACCATTATACTCCATACTGGATGATAGAGATAGATTCTGTCTCAAAATAAATAAATAAATAAAACAAATAATAATAAATATAATAATGGCAGCTAACACTCTATAGCCTGGTAGCCTGACCATGGGCCAGATCTTGTTTTGGGTGATTTATGTATTTATTACCCTATTTAATCATCACATGCAGCCTGTGAGGTGGATACCAGGATTATTCCCATTTCACAGAGGAGGAAACTGAGGCCCAGAGAGCTTAAGTCACACAGGTAGAAAGGGGTGATATTGGGACTGGCACTCACCCAGGCAGGTTGGCTCCTGAGTCTGTGCTCATAACCAGCAAATAATAGAGTCTGGCACCAAGTAAGTGCTTCTTAAAATTCCAGATGTAAGACAGACAGACAGAGAGAGGAAGTAAGAGAGAAGAATGCAGATCTGGCATACAGTAAGTGCTCAGAAACACCCAGAATACAGTCTAAAAATAAATCCCTGCAGGTGTAGTGCTATACCAACATGGATAGAAAAGTTGAAAACTCGGATGCTGTGAGTTTCAGGCAGGTGAGGCACAAGAACAAAGTAGGTAGCGCGTGGAGTGGTAGGGAGTCATACAGACTGTGACCAACTGGAGCCCCCAGAGCTTGTCTAAAGGGGACAGCTCCAGGGGATCACTGCTGTATAGAAATGGAAGCCCAATACTGCCAGATCTTTAGAGATTCTGGATTTTATGTGAGGTCTGTAATGTATGTATGTATGTATGTATGTATGTATGTATGTATGTATTTCTTACTAACTTTTGAGACGGGGTCTTGCTCTGTTGCCCAGGCTGGAGTGCAGTGGCAGGATCATAGCTCACTGCAGCCTCTATCTCCCAGGCTTGAGTGATCTTCCCACCTCAGCCTCCTGAGTTGCTGGGACTAGAGGGGTGCACAACCACACCCAGCTAATTATTTATTTTTGTAGAGACAGGATCTCACTGTGTTTCCCAGGAGGATCTCAAACTCCTGGCCTCAACCAATCCCCCTGCCTCAGCCTCCCAAAGTGCTGGGACTACAGGCATGAACCACTGTGCCCGGCCTGACCCCTTATTTTTAAAATGTCAGCATGAATTTACCTGAAAACCAAACACAAAAGAATTTTGGGTCAAGCATTATAAAACATTTGTGGTTGGACTGGCCAGTTTGCGACCACCTGGTTGAATGCTCAGCACACCTCCCGAGGTGGCTGTCATTGTCCTCACTTGCAGATAACATCGGCTGAGATGAACTCTTATGTAGTGCTGATGTATCAGACCCAGGGTTCACTTCGCAGAAAGATCTGAGACCTGTTACATGTTGGCAGTGCCGTAACCCACTTCCTAGAGCCTCATTTGAGAGCTTTTGATTTATGCCACATCTCTCTCCACTTACTGTTTACAGATGGGGAAACTGAGGAACAGAGAGGTAAAACACCTTGGCCAAGGGTTTTCTAGACTCCCAGCTGGGGTCTCTCCCCTCGCCCCGGTTGAGGAGTAAGCTCTGGGCCTTGACACTGAGATGTAGCTTGGCTTGCGCCTCACCTTGCTGGGCTCTCACCTGGGCTGCCAGCAGAGGTGTTAAGTGGGGCACAGCTGTGGCAGGGAACAGGGAAGAAAGGGAGGAGGCCAGCTCCCCAGACAGCCTAGACCTTGTGTGGTGAGTCAATATCAGTGACACCCAAGTGTCCTCTAGTTCTCAGCCCCCAAGGTGGGCCTGGAGTAGGGACTTTCTCAGGCCCGGGGAACCCAGGGAAGCCCCTTTCTCTGCTGCACTGACACCGGTTCTTCGCCCTCAAAAAGGAGGAAACAAATGAGCTGATGGGAAGACTAAAATGACCCTAGACTACAGATGGCGGTGGGGTGGTGGTGGCCTTGGGGGACAGTTCAGGGCTCCAGACGGAGGAGAATGTGCTCCTCTGGGCAGTTCCAGGTAGCCAGCTCCTGCAGGGCTCACTGTCAAGGCCAAGATGCCCCAGGAAGATGGCACATGCCCGGGGAGGGCATTGTTTCATGTGTGACTACAACCTCTAAATAAACACAGGCGCAGACTCTCAGGCTAAATATAGCCGGGCAAGTGTGAGAGGTGGGTGGGGAGCCGGTCTGGGGGGAGCAAGATGCACCCAGGATGGAGGGGCACCCTTCCCTGAGTCACCTCTGCTGGTGCCTTACCTTTAGATGGGCCAGGCCCCAGATTCACATGGAGGGGAACCATACTCCACAGTTTGTAGAGGGTAGAGGTTGGAGGTGGGGAGGTGCACACAGGATGGACTCGGGAGCCCATCAGACTGGGTTCACTACTAAGCCTCAGTTTCCTCATCTGAAAAAATGGGACAATAGCACTTATCTACCCACACGGGGTTGAGGACTAAATGTGATAATTCAGGCTTGGTTTCTAATACTTGGTGAGGGCTCCTTGGTAGCTGGTGTTGAATGGCAAGAGAGCGTGGTGAAAAACAGAGAGTTCAAATCCTTGGCTGGACAAGATGGCTCACGCCTGTAATCCTAGGACTTTGGGAGGCTGAGGTGGGTAGATCACTTGAGGTTAGGAGATCAAGACCAGCCTGGCCAACATGGTAAAACCCCATCTCTACCAAACAAACAAACAAACAAACAAAACCACAAAAAACAAAAACTGGCCAGGTGTGGTGGCATATGCCTTTAATTCCAGCTACTCAGGAGGCTGAGGCACAAGAATCACTTGAACCTGGGAGGCGGAGGTTGCAGTGAGCAGAGATCGTGCCACTGCACTCCAGCCTGAGCAACAGAGCAAGACTCTGCCTCAAAAAAAAAAAAAAAAATTTCAAATCCTGCCTGAGTCCAACTCCTGCCTCTGCCACTTATAGCCGTGTAGCCTTAGGTGAGGGATCTTCCCTCTCTGGGCCTCAGTTGCCTCTGCTGTAACATGGAGATATAATCCTTCCTGGGGTCAGTATTAAATAAGCGAATGTATAGAGAGATATCTGTCCTGCTGCTGTTATTACCATAAATCACAGATCTGGGTTTGAATGCCGACTTTGTCACTCATTAGCTGTGTGACCCTGGGCAAATCGCTTGATGTCTCTGAGCTTCTGCTTCCTCATCTGTAAAATGGGAATCATGATGGTGCCTCCCTCTTAGGGCTGTGCTCTTGGCATAGTGCTTGGCACAAAGCCAACTCTGAGGACATCTGGCCAAATCTGCTTTTGTAGGATTGGTTTTGTTACTTCATTTTTCAGGTGGGAAAACTGAGGCCCAGAGAGGAAAAACTTCCTCGGTCGGCCATTGTGGCTTCCTGGTCAATTCCCCATCCCACTTCTCTTTGCACCACGAATTTCTAGTCCTTGTTGCCTCAGTTTACCCAGCTGGGAAATGGGTTTGGGGGGCTTCTCTTACCTGCTGCTCCTCCCAGCAGGATGTGAAGTACCTGGCCATCAGCGGATTTCTCTTCTTGCGATTCTTCGCGCCCGCCATCCTTACTCCAAAGCTGTTTGACTTGCGGGACCAACACGCGGACCCCCAGACCAGCCGCTCACTGCTGTTGCTTGCCAAGGTGCCAGCCATGGGGTCCCCCCATCCTGGGTGCTCTTAGCCAGGGAAAAAAAGCATGGTAGGAGCAGAGCTGGGAGGCCAGACCCACAGAAGACCCAAAGAACACCCAAAGAAACCCAAGTCTGAAACACCACCATTAGCATTCTATCCCAAGGGTGAAGGCAGTCATTATGCACTCCAATTTCCCCTTTGGAAATGAAAACCCAACCCTTACAGAAGGAAAGTGGAAAGCAGGCTAGCAGTCATTCACACCTTAGTATAAATTAGATCATCCTTTGCAAAGGGCAACAACTTGAGATTCTGCATGACAGTATGCAAGGTAGGATTGAGCAGTCCTGGCTGGGGGAGGGTCTGGGCTTTGGAGGGAACAGAATAAGGTCACTGGGGGGTGCAGATTCCAAAAAGAGGAAGGGGAAACAGATATCACCCAAGGAAGGTGTTGAGTCTTCTTATTGATTTATATTTTCTTTGAGACGAGTCTCACTGTGTCACCCAGGCTGGAGTACAGTGGCACGATCTTGGCTCACTGCAACCTCTGCCTCCTGGGTTCAAGTGATCCTCCCACCTCAGCTTCTGGAGTAGCTGAATTTACAAGTGTGTGCCACCGCGACTGGCTAATTTTTGCATTTTTAGTAGAGACAGGGTATCATCATGTTGGCCAGGCTGGTCTCGAACTCCAGCCCTCAAGTGGTCCGCTTACTTCAGCTTCCCAAAGTGCTGGGATTATAGGCGTGAGCCACTGTGCCCGACAATAAGAGTCTTCTTTTATTGAGCACTGATTTGGGAGCCAGCAGTCCACAGAGGGCCCTCCCGTCTGCTGTGACCTTGGCCCCGGCATCCCTCGTTTCTTTGCTCTAGGCTGTGCAGAGCATCGGAAACCTGGGCCAGCAGCTGGGCCAGGGCAAGGAACTGTGGATGGCCCCCCTGCACCCCTTCCTGCTACAGAGCGTCTCACGTGTGAGAGACTTCCTGGACCGGCTGGTGGATGTGGATGGGGATGAAGGTGAGTTCCTGTGGTCCTGCCGTATCTAGCTTCTCAACCCAACTGGGACACCACTCAGGGACTTCCCCTTTTCCCCGCCAGCTCCTCAGCACTGAGAATGTGAATCTGTGGGTCAGTCAAGTCAACTAACATTTCCTGACACTGTGCTAGGCCCCAGAGACAAACAGAGTTCACGTGCTGTCCTCCAGGCCATCCTAGCCAACGTGGGGATGTGGCTGTGGGCGGGATTGTGGCATGGTGTGCATGCAATTGACAAACATCTATTAAGCGCTTACTAAATAATAGGCACAGTTCTAGGCGCTGGGGATGCAGCAGTGAACAAGACACAGAAAATCTGATCTCACAGAGGTTTTATTTTGTTGGGGAACACAGGCCATTAGCAAGATAAATAAGCAAGTTATGTGGTATGTTAGAGAGCTGTAAGTGCTAAGGCGGAAAAATAGAGGAGGAAAGAACAGAGACCTGAAAGGGAACAGGTAGAGAGCCGTGAGAATCCCAGGGAAGAGTGCCAGGCAGGGCACGGCATGTGCAAGGGCCCTGAGGTGGGACAGAGAGTGCCACTGAGGACATCCGTGAAGAAGAGTGAAGCGGGGGCAGTGGGGAGGCAAAGAGGCAAGGCCAGAGAGGTGGGGGGCCAGATCATGTGGGGCCTCATAGGCCTTGGGAAGAATTTTAGCTTTGACTTGGAGTGAAACAGAATCACAGGATGATTTGTAGCAGAAAAGTTGTGGTTGAGTCCATACCATAATGTGGGGCTCAGATCATGACCTAGTTGGATCCCAGTCCCGTTGGAGCAACCTGTCAGAACGTACAGCCTGGTTGTGGCATGGTGGGGTCCCTGTGGTGCTGGGGTGGGGTGGCGGAGCTGTGTCCTGGCTCCCTGAGTGTGGTTAGATGCAGGACATTGCCTGGGTGGGGCCCCATAGGGTGTGGCTACCCCTGCTGGCTGCCTGCACACTGTCTGCAGATTTCTCTGGCTGGAGAGAGGTCTTTAAGGGCTACTTTGCCCACCCCCTCCTCCCGGCCTCCATGATTGCATTTCCTATTGAAGGAGTGGAGTCTGAAGTTATCGCGCTCATCCTCCCACCTCTAGGGGAGCAGAGAACCATGCCCATCCACTGAGGTCCTCCCTGGGCATGCTAGTGGAGTAAGGTAAGCCTGGATAGGGAGGGCTCACTGTCCACCACCTCTCTTCTCCCATTTCCCAGAAGCTGGTGTCCCAGCCCGGGCCCTGTTCCCGCCCTCGGCCATTGTTCGAGAAGGCTATCTGCTGAAGCGCAAGGAGGAGCCCGCCGGCCTGGCCACGCGCTTTGCCTTCAAGAAGCGCTACGTCTGGCTCAGCGGGGAGACCCTCTCCTTCTCCAAGAGTCCTGAGTGGCAGGTGGGGCTCCCGTCCACAATGGAGGGCTTGCCAGGGGTGGCCTTTTTCAGGATGCTGCCTCTTTGTACACAAGGGGAAACTGAGGCCCACAGTGGGGCAAGGCCCCAAGGTGCCATAACAACTTAACAATGACAAACTCTCAGGACAGGCTCTGCTCACAAGTTCAGGCCAATGTGGGCACAGGACATGGACAGGCACCATCACACATCCTTCAGAATGTGCACATGCGGTGGCAGGGATATGCCTCCCAGATGTGGAGGCACACAGGACAGGGACGATGCTGAACCGCTCTCCAATGCTCCCACCCGGATCTAGGGCACGTGCTAGACAGACTCATAACATTGAATGTGTTCACTAGGAACGTGTGTAGATGTTCAGGCACATTCATCCAAGCATTCATTCACTCGTTCACTCATTCAGCAAACATTGAGCCTATTATGTGTCAGTGTCCTAAGCACTAGAGATACAGGAGTGAACAAGACAGGTGAAAATCTTGCCCTTGTGGGGCTGGCGTTTGTGACTAGAATGCCCCGAGACATGTGCTGGAGTCTCCTGAATGGGGAGCTATGTGCACACCAGTAGATGATGACAGCTAATGCTGGGAAGGGAGTCCACACTTACTGTTTCTATTTTATCAGGAGAAAGGAGATTCCAGGGGTCAATTCTATGGGTTCCAATTTTGGGTCCAACCGATGAGTGACCTTGGAAGGGTCATCTATCTTCTTGCACCTCAGTTTTCTCATCTGCAGGTTGGAGAGAATAACAGAACCAACCTCAGAAGTTTGTTGTGATAATTAAATAAATTGATCAATGTAAAGTCCCAAGCACCATAGAAGTGGTAGCTATTATTAACAAGGAAACGGATCCCCAGGGAAGTTGTCACTTAGACAGGTGGCTGGGCATGATGGCTCACGCCTGTAATCCCAGCACTTTGGGAGGCCGAGGTGGGCGGATCACTTGAGGCCAGGAGTTCGAGACCAGCCTGGCCAACATGGTGAAACCCCATCTCTGCTAAAAATACAAAAAAATTAGCCTGGCGTGGTGGTGCACACCTGTAATCCCAGCCACTTGGGAGGCTGAGGCAGGAGAATAGCTTGAATCCGGGAGGCAGAGGTAGCAGTGAGCCTAGATGGTGCCACTGCATTCCAGCCTGGGCGGCAGAGCGAGACTCTGTTTAAAAACAAAACAAAACAAAACAAAAAAACAAAACAAAAAGGATAGAGCAGGACTCACCCAACAGTTCACATGGATGGATGGACAAGCACACAGAGCACAGACTTACAGGGTTGAATGTCCCGCCTCTGGGAACCCACTCCACCTGCCGCACACAACCAGACGGAAGCTGTCCCCACCCCGGCCCTAGCCCCCAGCCCATCCTGTAGCAACAATCCTCTTCCCCAGACCCGCCACTCCATCCCCGTGTCGCACATCCGCGCCGTGGAGCGCGTAGACGAGGGCGCCTTCCAACTGCCCCACGTGATGCAGGTGGTGACGCAGGACGGCGCGGGGGCGCTGCACACCACCTACCTCCAGTGCAAGGTGAGACCCCGTCGCGATGGGGAGCGGGTGGGGGTGGGGCATCCCTCGGTTCCCACCCGCCCCCTGATCGCCTCCCACCCGCTGCAGAATGTGAACGAGCTCAACCAGTGGCTCTCGGCCTTGCGCAAGGCCAGCGCCCCCAACCCGGACAAGCTGGCCACCTGCCACCCCGGTGCCTTCCGCAGCGCGCGCTGGACCTGCTGCCTCCAGGCTGAGCGCTCAGGTGAGGGGGCAGCGTGGACTGCAGGCTCTGCCGGCCCTACCCGTCAATCAGTGGGTGTCCCACTTCCGCCTGGGCTGGCTGTGCAACCTTGGGCAAGTTACTCAACCTCTCTATGCCTCAGTCTCCTCAACTGTGAAATAAGGTTGATAACAGTGCCTTTCTCATGGAGTTGTGATAATTAAATGACTTGATTTACACAAAGAGCATAGGATGCTGCTTGGCGCATGCAAGGTGTTATTTCTACTCACTAGGTGCCAGCATCCAGTGGCGCCCAAACATCATGAGCTTGTTCTCAAGGAAGATGAGTGCATAACCCAAATTTTTTTTTTCTTTTTTTTTTTTGAGACAGAGTCTCACTCAGTTGCAAAGGCTGGAGGGCACAATCTCAGCTCACTGCAACCTCTGCCTCCCGGGTTCAAGTGATTCTCCTGCCTCAGCCTCCTGAGTAGCTGGGTTTATAGGTGCATGCCACTGCACCTAGCTAATTTTGTATTTTTAGTAGGGACGGGTTTTCACCATGTTGGCCAGGCTGGTCTCAATCTCCTGATCTCAGGTGATAAGCCCACCTCAGCCTCCCAAAGTGTTGGGATTACAGGTGTGAGCCACCGTGCCCGGCCTTTTGTTAATACAATGTTATAAGTGCCAACATGAGGCTTTTGAGATTCCAGTGGATGCCTCTGACACAGCCTCAGGATGGGGACTCAAGGAGGGCTTCCTGGAGGAGGTGCTGCTTAAATGCGACCTGAGTAGAGCAGAAGTTAAGCAGCGACGCTGGAGACAGAACTGGGAGCTGGGGCTAAGGAAGTGTTGCAGGTGTCGTGAGCAAAGGCCTGGAGGTTGGGACAAGGTAGGCTGACGGTTGGAAAAAGGTCTTTGTGACTAGAGCCTAGAATGAGAGAGGAGTACTGGGAGAGGCAAGGCTACTGCAAAAGTCTAGGGAGCAGAAGTGGGGCTGGATGAGAGTGGAGGATGTAAGATTCAAAGGAAGTAGTGGGTTTTTTAATTTTTGTTTTTGAGACAGAACCTCTCTCTGTTGCCCAGGCTGGAGTGCAGTGGTGCAATCACGGCTCCCTGCAGCCTCAAACTCCTGGGTTCAAGCACTCCTCTCACCTCAGCCTCCCAAGCAGCTGGGACCACAAACATGTGCCACCATGTGAGGCTAATTTTTTTTTTTTTTTTTTTTGAGACAGAGTCTCACCCTTTTGCCCAGGCTGGAATGTAGTGGTGCAATCTTAGCTCACTGCAATCTGTGCCTCCCAGGTTCAAGCGATTCTCCCGCCTCAGCCTCCCAAGTAGCTGAGATTACAGGCATGAGCCACCATGCCTGGCTAATTTTTGTAGTTTTAGTAGAGACGGGGTTTCACCATGCTGGCCAGGCTGGTCTGAAACTCTTGACCTCTAGTGATCCACCCACCTTGGCCTCCCAAAGTGCTGAGATTACAGGCGTGAGCCACTGCTCCGGACCCAAGGGTAATTTTTAAATTATTTGTAGAGATGAGGTCTCACTATGTTGCCCAGGCTGGTCTCGAACTCTTGGGCTCGAGCGATCCTCCCATCTCAGCCTCCAAAAGTGCTGAGATTACAGGTGTGAGCCACCCCGTGTGGCCTAGAAATAGTAGGTTTGACGAGGGATTTTAGATGAAGGAGCACGGCTTGGCGACAGCCTGGTTGTGGAGGCTTCTGGAAGGGGAGGGGGCGTTACTGATGAATGAAGCTGTGTCCCCTCAGCTGCCGGCTGCAGCCGTACACACTCAGCTGTCACCCTGGGGGACTGGAGTGACCCATTGGATCCCGATGCTGAGGCCCAGACGGTGTATCGGCAGCTGCTCCTGGGGCGGGACCAGCTCAGGTGGGTGCCCCCACCCATCCCACTTCACCTCCTATGACCAGCCGAGCCAGCCCCCCACCGTGGCCTTGCTGTGTTCATTTATTCATTCTTTCCGTGTGCATTGGTAGATCTTCCCTGGGGGCCTGGCCCAGGGTGGGGACTGGGTGTCTACACAGTCAAGGCTTGGGAAGCATCCTCGGTGGGAGGGGTCCCTCATACAGAACTGGGTCTTGGGATCTTTTAATACCTGGGGCTCCAGAGACCCTGGCACAATTCACATAAAATCCTGGCCCCCTGCACTTGCTAAATGACCTTGGATAGATCTCTTCCCCTTCCTGGCATGAGGATCGCTATCACTGTTATTCGGTGACAGAGATTTGTCCCAACTCATTATAGAGTGGGTTCTGAAGCTGACCTGCCTGGGTTCCAATCCTGACCCAGCCACTTACTAGCTGTGTGATCTTTTAAAAAAAAATTATACATTTATTTAGACAGAGTCTTGCTCTGTTGCCCAGGCTGGAGTGCAGTGGCATGATCTTGGCTCACTGCAACCTCTGCCTCCCGGGTTCAAGCGATTCTCCTGCTTCAGCCTCCCATGTAGCCAGGATTACAGGCACCTGCCACCACGCCTGACTAGTTTTTGTATTTTTAGTAGAGATGGGGTTTCACCATGTTGGCCAGGCTAGTCTCGAATTCCTGACTTCAAGTGATCCACTTGTCTTGCCTTTGCCCTCCCAAAATGCAGGGATTACAGGCATGAGCCACTGCACCCAACCAGGCTGTGTGATCTTAAAAAAGTTGCTTAACTTCTCTGTACTTCAGTTTCCTCGTCTGGAAAAGGGGAATAATAATGGTGGTAACCTCGTGGGTTGTCCTGAGGATCAGATGAGCTAATACAGGTGGAGCACTTTGTAGGTGCCTGGCCACATAGTTAGCTTTCAATAAGTGGTAATGATGACGATACTGATGCGGTGTGACCTTAGACAAGTTACCTAACCTCTCTGTGTCTCAGTGATCATCTGTATAATGGAGCTAATACTAAATACCTACCTCATATGAGTTTGTCATGACAATTAAATGAGTTAATACATGTACAAGGTTTAGAATAGTATCTGACACTCTAGAAATGTTTGCTGTGTAGATGATGATGATGATGATGATGATGACAATGGTAGATGGTGATGGTGATGATTCAGGAAAACTAATTTCTCAGAGAATTTCTGGGGTAGGAATCAGGATTGGGAATCAGGGACCAGACTTGTCTTTCTCCCTCTCACCTTCTAGGCTGAAATTACTGGAGGATTCTAATATGGATACAGCTCTGGAGGCAGACACAGGTAAGGGCTCCTGTACCACAGAATGTAAAGGCTGGGCGCGGTGGCTCAAACCTGTAATCCCAGCACTTTGGGAGGCCGAGGTGGGTGGATCACTTGAGGTCTGGAGTTCGAGATCAGCCTGGCCAACATGGTGAAACCCTGTCTCTACTAAAAATTTAAAAATTAGCCGGGTGTGGTGGTGCACACCTGTAATCCCAGCTACTGGGGTGACTGAGACGTGGGAATTGCTTGAACCCAGGAGGAGGAGGTTGCAATGAACTGAGATCATGCCACTGAACTCCACCCTGGGCAACACAGCAAGACTCTACCCCGCCCCACCAAAAAAAACCAGTAAGCTAAGGGGTTAAGGAGGTCCTTTTTTCCTCACAGGCGCTTCCCCACTGTCTCCTGTGTTTCCAGTCCATCCTCAGGCCACAGGGCTGTGTGTGGGGACTCTCAAGGATTTTAGGGTTCTCAGGGCACAAGGCACATCTGCAGCGTGAGAAACCATTGGGTCCGGGTTACAGCAGCCTGCCTTGGACTGGCTGAGCGCCTGTGGCCTCTTGTCTCCCTCCTAGGGGCCTGTCCTGAGGTCCTGGCCCGGCAAAGAGCAGCAGCCGCCCGCCTGCTGGAGGTGCTCGCAGACCTGGATCGTGCCCATGAGGAGTTCCAGCAGCAAGAGCGAGAGAAGGTGGCCCTGGGCCCACTTGGCCCCTGAGGAAATGCCACAGCTAGCCCGAAAGGAGGAGCAAGGAGGTGGGGGACCCTCTCCTCAGCGCATCCTGCCCCAGGAATCTCCTGTCTCCTTGTACCTCTTTGATTCTGTGGTTTGGAGGCTCCCAGCGACGTACCTCGTCCTGTGTGCCTTGAGTCCAGAACTCAGGGCATGGAAGCCCTTTGGCAGGGGCTAGCCTTGCACTGAGCGAATCTTGCTCTCTGGGTTGATTCAGACTGGAGTGGATAGGATAAGGAATCTGACTTATTTGACTGAGACCGGGGTCTCTGC